GAACATGTAACAGAGGATCCTTTGTGAGCCAAATCAGTGTTGATTGATTTAATCAGCAATATCAGGACGGGTCACATGTCCAGCGTGCTCAGTTTGTGATGAATTATTCTGTTACTGATCAAGAACGTTCCTAAAACATGAGAATTGCAGATGAACTGAAACCTGTGTGACAGCAGATATGAAGGCTCAGGTTCAGGTTAGAGCTGATGGAGGTCGGTTTAAAGTGTCTCTATGGGCTCATCAGTTCTGTTCTGTAGGGTTGAATCAGAGCATCACCTGTTTGCCTACAGGTGTAAATAATGTCTGGTTTGTTGTTTGTTTTGTCCAAATCCCTGCATTAAAAACTGTGGAAACTTAACTACAGCATACACCCCTCTCACTCTGTTACTTGTTTTGTTTGTTTGTTTGTTTGTTTGTGTAGCTGGCGTCGTCCAGCCTGCTGAAGATCGGTCAGGAGACGGACAAGATGACGACACGTAACAGAGAATCTGTGTATCTGCTGCTGGACATGGTGAGAGCATCTCGGCCTAAAGCAGACGTGGTTCTGGTGTTGACGTGGTTCTGGTGTCGGCGGGTTTCGGTGTCGGTGTTTCTACCATGGCTGTGTTTCTGTCTCCTCAGATTGTGCAGGAGTCTCCCTTCCTGACCATGGATCTGCTGGAGTCCTGCTTTCCCTATGTCCTGCTGCGAAACGCCTACCACGCCGTCTACAAACAGAGCATCAGCGCCAACGCATAGATACACACACACACACTACATCAGCGCTCGTGTGTCGCACAGCAAACGCACACTACCGGCATTACACTAAAACAAAACAAACTAAACACACTAAACTATGCCTACAACGCCTCAACGTACCATCTGACGACAAGCAGCGTCGGCGGCGACACGCCGACACACTAAACGCGTAGCATTTAAACTCAAAATCCAGAACAAATGCACTAAACAGAGCTCAACAGAAAAACACAGACGTGAACAAACACAGACACACACTAGCTGGACGAAGTTGGGGGATCAGTGTCTTTACTTTAATCATTGTACCTTTTCCATGATGTTGCCAGGGACCATAACCATAGCAACACATTAATATACAAGATGTTTGGTTGGTATAAAAGAACAAAAATATAAATATATAGTATATATATAGTTGACACTAATTTTCTTTTTCTTTTTCTTTTCTTTATTTTTTTTTTCCAATGAAAGTTTTGAGACTTTTGGTGGCCAGCTGACTATGTGGTGATGGATTTGGATGCTTACTTTGGGAATGATTCTGATGTGATGTTGGGTTTTGGGCTGAGGATTCCTGTGTTGATACTGAGAGACATGTTGCTCGTTCATGTAAGTTTATATCCAGACACTGACGGACAAACACACACACACACACACACACACACACAGGCAGACACACACACACACACACTTGTATAACATGGTGATGTTTTCTTTCTTTTTTTCTAGCTAGTCGTAACATGAGCTTTTTGTGGGTAAAGATATAATATCTGTATTCTACTTTGATGTGAACTGAACTTGTCTGTTTTTAATGTTTATGTTTTGTTATTTTTATGACGATTTGCCAAATGTGTCGACACTAAAACAAACAAACAAACAAAAAAAAACAAGCGGTTGTGTATCAGGGCTTGGAAGCGGTGGAGTGTTTGGGTGTTAACGGGGTGATTTAGACGCTGATTCTGCAGCAGCTCAGACAATAACGGTCAAACGAGAACTTTTACAGCTAAACCTGCAGATTTCCTCCTTCAGCTGCTGTCGGCCAACTCTCCCCATCAGGTGAAGCTCCAGTAGGCGCCACAGAAACAAACCTAATTTATGTGATCTTTAATCTTCAGTTCTATCAACTTGTTCTTTCTCACCTGTAAATTGGAGGTTCAGCAGCTGTGGAGAGTTTGACCATCGACACTCCTTCGTTAGATTAAGAAAAAAAAACATCTTTAACTTTAATAGGAAGTAAATTAAACCAAGCCACTTAATCCTGATCGATCTCAGACCTGCGAACGTCTGCAAAAACAAAACAAACCTGGAGCTGCAATAAGACAGAAGATAAATATATATATATGTAAACACTCTTGGTGATGTTTTCAGTGATGCGGGGGGGAAACAATCCACCGATGGACTTTTTATTTTTCTCCCACGTTTCTGTTTGACGGTTGTGCGGGACCTTTTCAAAGGACAGACGGACAACTTTTACAAAGTGCAGTCTGGTTTCTTTTTTTTTTATTTCTGAGACTTGGCGAAGGGCGGCGTACCGAGACACGACCACCGGCCCTCCGATCATGTGTTACTAACACCAGGGTTCTGTCTCCGAGCTCATCCTGCACACGGCTCCGGCTGCTCAAAGTTAAAGTTGTGGCCACAGCCGGAGGTGAGAGGGCGTTCACAGGAGTCTGGTGAACACACTCCACAGTGGAAGTGGTTTTCCTGCAGCCCGTCGTGTGCGTCGTGACCAGACGGAGACAGAACCGTGGACACGTTCTGCCATTTGACGTGGAATGATTGCTGTTTCCTTTCTAACCTCCTTTTTGTGTCTCTGATTCCACCGTGTAACTTAAAATGACATGAATAAAATAAACTTTAGGGCTGTGTCAGACCTGAGCTGTGAGTGTGTGACGGCTGGTTTCCACTGACGTGAAAAACAAGAAGTGACTTAATGGCATCAGGTGGTGAATTAGACCTGAAAGCACTGGTAAGAGGTGAGCTTTTCCAAAATACATCACCGTGAACAGATACTTATTTATAATCTAGTCATGCCAGATGCTTTTATAAACTAGTGACTGACTGGTTTCTAAACTCTAATGTTGTTACAGAAGAATATTTCTGCTGTTGACATGTGCAGATCTGAACAATATTCACAGGCTAACATGTTCATTATTATTGTTATTTACACACAGTTACTCTGCAGGACATTTTAACAAAATGAATATAAACGTGAAATCTGCAGAAGCTTTTTTTTTTTAATTCAGTCCTGCAGTGTTGCTTAAAAGCCACCAGGGGGCGCCACATTACCCACTAAACTCCAAATAAACAGCAAAAGGAGTCCTGTTTCCTAATCCTATTGCATATAAAGTCAATGCTGACATTTTATTGCTATTATTGCCGTGGTTACATGTTGCATATACAGGTAAAGAAAAGAAGTTTAAAAATAAAATGAACTCCTGACCAGTTAATCCAACAATAATTCAGATTTTTCACCCCGTGACTAAAAAACGTGTGCTGTTGAACCGTAAACTCTGAAAGTAGCTGCTTTAAATGGGAAATCATATTATAAAAAATGAATAACTGGAAACAAAAACAGCTTTAAAATCAAATATAATATCACAGACTCGTGTGTTGTGACGTCACAGGAAAAACAACGGCCCTTATCCTGGAGTGCAGCCATAATTAATGTGACTGATTACCTGTGAAACCCTTAAATGTATTACAGTCCTTGTATATTTCATTAGCTGCTGTGTGTTTTGTAGGTGTTCTTTAAACCAACTTACAATTTCTGATAGAACAGTGGACATTTGAAAACTTGCATAGAGAAACAAACCAGATATAAATTAATGTACACCAACATTACAGGCCACAAAGTGAATTTAAAATAATAAAAAAAAAAATCAGTTATGTAGCTAGCTAGCAGATAATTCCTACTTTAGTTTATTTAGTCTGTTTATTTTAATAAAAATAAAAGGTAATGTTGACAAAGAAGTTTATCCACTGTCGGTTAATGACTATAAGCTGCTGGTTTTCGCTAACTAGCTAGCTAGCAGGTGTAATAAACCCTTGCTTGGCGACACGCTAGTAGCTAGCTACAGGCTAGCAGACCAAATGCAAAATTAAACACATCCACATTGCTTGCGTTTACTAATTTGTTGGTGTGTAAATTTGAAAATGCATAAAATTACAGTGACAATGTTTGTTGCTTCACAGAGTTAGCGCACTTTTTGAGTTTCCCGCCAAAAGTGTTTAAATGTGGGTTTCAATGAAGAATTTGAGTCAGTAAACTAGGTTTTTGTTTTATTCAATTTTGAATTCTTTGTTTTTGGTTTACATTAATGGTGGGGAAGACATTTATCTACTGTAGGTGAATTAGCTTAAGTTGTTTTGGTTTTAGCTAACTAGCTAGCAGGTGCAGTTACCCATTGCTTGGCTACTAGTTAGCTGCTAGCGACATCCTACCAAACCAAATATAACAACATATTTTGATTCCCTCCTTTTGATTATTTTTTCAGTGTGTAAATTTGAAATGACAAAACATTACAATGTCAGCTTTACTTCTTTGATTTAGAACGAGTTGCTTTGAGGTTTTTAAGGGGTTTTTTTTAGCCAAAGAGTTAAAAAGTCAGCTGTTGCAGTGAAGAATTTTTCACTTATTACATTTTTATTTCATTTTGTGCCAAATAAGGGTTTATGGTGTCAATAAAAACATCTTCTGTGGGTTAATTTAAATTCTTAACTTGCTTGTTTAACAATGATTTTGTTTAATTCTGTTCAGGAGTTTTTGCTATTGTAAAAAATGAGACTTTATGTTGACAGAAATGTTTATCCACTGTTAGCTTAGTTTCAGTTAACGAGCTAGCAGGTGCAGCTAGGTGGAAAGTGACCAAAAAAAAAACACAACGGCAAAAGTTTGTTGTGTCATTGATGTAGAACAAGTTTCTAAAGGATTGAAAAGTTTCCCGCTAAAAGTGTTAAAATGTCGCGTGTTTGAGGTGAACTGTTTGTTGTCGTTTTGCTGATTTGAGTAAAAATCCGTCCTGTGTGAAGTGAAAGAGGACAAAGAAAACACTGAGGAGTTGGATGTTAGCGAAGGTCCAGTGAAGGTTTGTGGAGGCCATTCGGTCGAGGTGTTTCCATTGAAGTGCTGGACGCTGGTTTAAGATGTTCCTGATTTAAACAAACTGCTGGGTTTCAATAACCGGCACAGTCACCTCTCCCACTGATCAACGTCCTGACATGTCGCTGCTGGTGGACGTCCAAGTTCGTCCGTTGGTTCGTCCAGAGCGTAAATCGTCGGCTGAGGTTCCTCTTCTGGATCAGCCGTCCTGAGGGTTGGTTTCCTCCTCATCCTCTTCAGGTACTGAACTTTCCAGCTTACCTACACAAACACACAAACATGGCTCAGATTTACTGATCGGTACTGAACAGACGGGTCACTTTGCGCTTATGAACAAAAACAAATACTTTAAAATGAACAAATTGAAGAAATTCAGGCCCCAAAGTAGAAAATCAGTTCAACAAAAGTGAATCCAGCTGTGACCTCTGAAACCAAACTGAGTCCAGCTGTGGTTTCCATCAGTCTAACAGCATGAACATGACTATAAAATGAGCTGAGAGCAGCAGAACCTCCTCAGTTCTGGACCTATGGACTGGTTCTATCTATGTCTGCATCATGGAGAAAACCTGAACAGAGGAGGAGAAACATCTGACTGAGAGACTTGACAAAGATGGAAAAGGATCCAGAAGATCAGTGAGCAGCTAGAACCCAGTGCAGCCCAGTGTGAGCAGTAACCAGGAGGTCCAGAAGGAGCCATAGTAGCTCTGATCAGGGCTGCAGTGGTCGTCCTCCTACAATGACTCCACGGACAGTCAACTACTTTCACTATGGAGCTGTGGACACCAGACAAAGGCAGCTGCTTCAGACTTGGCACAGGGCTTATCAATGGAGACCAGAGTTAGTGTGAAGCTCAGACAGTGTGAAGGACACTTCAGAACATCAACCTCTATGGATGGAGGACCAGAACTAAACCTGGCTGCTGCTCACAACTAAACTTCCACATCAAAGTTTGATAAAGAACATGAACAGAAGCCTGATGGATGTTGGAGAACATTCTCTGGTCACATGAAGATAAATGTGTTGGGCTCAGATGGAGTCCAGATGTTTGGTGTGAACCTGACCAGGACCACCACAGTGGATGCATCGTCCTGACTGTTTTTTATCCTCCAACTCTGAGCCAGAAATCTCCACTTCAGCGCCATTTACAGACGCCAGCCTTTATAGTAGATATGTCCTAAAAGTTTTTACTGAGCGATTTGTTCTTGTATCATTCGCAGCCTGATTTGTAGAACAATGGGTCCCTATCCATCCATCCATCATGTCTCCACCTTAGTCCTCACCAGGGTCATGGGGGGCTGGAGTCTATCCCAGCTGACTCAGGGTGAAGGCAGGTTCACCTGGACAGGTAACCAGTCTATCACAGGGCTACACTTAGAGACAGACAACCAAGCACACTCACATTCACACCTACGGACAATTTACAATCACCAATTAACCTCAGCATGTTTCTGGACTGTGGGAGGAAGCCGGAGAACCCGGAGAGAACCCACGCTGCACGGGGAGAACATGGAGACTCCACGCAGAAAGATCCCGGGTGTCCTCACCGGGACGCCGACCGGCGACCTTCTAGCTGTGAGGCGACGGTGCTAACCACTGAACCACCTGTAACGTCTCTACTTAAAAAAATAAAACATAAAAAATGTGCAGTGTTTCACAGTTTGAGCATTTAAACTGGTTTCGTTCTCAACGGTACAAACATGTGGTGACACGATTTATTTAGCTCGTTAATTTACCAGAAATACTCAGTAATTACTTCATCTTGTGGTTAATCATCTTTATTGTTTCATAAATAATAATAAAATGCCTTTTTTCCATGAAGGACCTTCCCACTGCATGTTATTGTCCATTTGAATTCTTCTTCCACCACCGTGTTCTCTGAACTGTGCTTTAAAAGAAAAAAAAGTCAGTTTAATGCTAAAATCCCCTTTATGTCTATTCTTTGTGTGTGATTTTGAACACCGTTTACATTTATTCATGCAGTGATTGCTCAGACTCGACACCAGATTTTACAAATGACGATGGAAGACAAGCTGAAAACAAAAAAAGCCAAGTTTCACCATTTTGTCTGTAAAATCTGCTCGTAACAGAAATATTAACCTCCTGCAGCTCAGCGTCGCCTCACAGCTGTTCACTGGGTTTGTGTGAAATTAAAATGAGGCCGTCTTGTTTCTGGCTACACGTTTGAGCACCGACAGGACAAATAAGTGAACTTTAGGTGTCAGTAACAGAAGAGACGGAGATTTATTTAACGCGTCTGATATGATTAAAGGTTTAAAAATAACCCTGACGACTGTAAAGCTCGGCTTCCTTCTATCCGGTTCAACGTTCTGCCGAGAACACGTTTTATAAACCAAACAAACACTTCATGCACACATCAGTCCAAACAGAAGAACCACAGTTAACGTTTTAGTCCAGGGATGCCCAGTCCTGGTCCTCCAGAGCTCCTATCCAGCATGTTCTAGATGGTTCCACCTGATTCACATGATCAGGATGGTTATCAGGCTTCTGCAGAGCTTCATGAGGAGCTGATCATCTGAACCAGGTGTGATGGAAGAAGGAAACATCTAGAACATGCTGGATAGCGGCTCTCGAGGACCAGGATTGGGCACCCCTGTTTTAGTCTCTTAACGGTCGTCAGTTCTGTCATGTTTTAACCCTCAGAACCAGAACCAGAACCAGACCTTTGTTCATGTTTCACTGCAGCTCTGTGGAACCAGAACTCGTCTTCTACTTCCTGCCTCTGTGCTCTGAGCTGATTTAAATCCACGTGT